AGTCTCTGGAACAACTTCAAACTTACCAACAGTTGAATAATGAGGGTGCCAGAAGGAGAAGAGAGAGAACAAGAAATTGAAAACTTTATTTGAAAAAAATAGTGACAGAAAACTTTCCTAACCTGGTGGAGGAAATAGACATACAAGTCCAGGAAGCACAGAGAGTCCAAAACAAGAGGAACCCAAAGAGCCCACACCAAGACACATCATAATTAAAATGCCAAAGGTTAAAGACAAAGAATCTTAAAAGCAGCAAGAGAAAAGGAGTTAGCTACTTACAAGGGAATGCCCATATAACTGTCAGTTGTTTTCGCAAAAGAAACTTTGCAAGCCAGAAGGCAGTGGCAAGAAATATTCAAAGTGATGACTAGCAAAGACCTACAATCAAGATTACCCAGCAAAACAATCATTTAGAATTAAAAGACATAAAGAGCTTCAGACAAGGAAAAGCTAAAAGAGTTAATCACCACCAAACCAGTATTACATGAAATGTTAAAGGGTCTTCTTTAAGAAGAAGAAAAAAAAGATTAAAAATATGAACAATAAAATGACAATAAATATATATCTCTCATCAATCTTTTTTTAAAAATATATCTTTATTGATTTCAGAGAAGGAGGGAGAAGGGAGAGAGAGATAGAAACATCAATGATGAGAGAGAATCATTGATTGGCTGCTTCGTGCATGCCCCCTACTGGGGATCAAGCCTGAAACCTGGGCATGTGCCCTTGACTGGAAGCAAACCTGAGACCCTTCAGTCCGCAGGCTGATGCTCTACCCACTGAGCCAAATCAGCTAGGGCTCTCTCATCAATCTTAAAAAACAAAATAAACAAAAGCAGAACAGAAACAGACTTATACAGAGAACATTTCAATGGCTGCCAAATGGGAGGGGGGTTGGGTGAAAAAGGTGAAGGGATTAAGCAATACAAATTGATTGTTACAGAATATTCATGGGGATGTAAAGTATAGCACAGGAAATAAAGTCAATAATATTCTAATAACTATGCATGGTATCAGGTGGGAACTAGATTTATCAGGATGATCACTTAGTTATATAACTATAACACTGTCAATTGTAATTGAAAAATAAAAAAATGATTTAAATTTTCAAAATTCATGAAATAAAAGGTCTAAAGAATAACCCAAAATAAAAAGGAGAAATAGACTTCTGAAAAATATAATGATTATTAAGCGTCTAGAACTGGACAAACAGGTAAATAAAATGTGACAGAAAAGACTAAGGACCATTTCCATTTATAGTTTACACATCATAATGCAATCAAACTATCTAAAACATGTTGAATTTTCACTCATCCCTTTATAGGATGGGTCATTTCTAGGTATCAGTACATTTCCCTAATAATTATCCTGTGACTTAGAACATGATACTAATTAGAGATTCCAAAGCAAAGATCATACTATTAAGTAACTGTTGTTACGGATGTTTACCTATTTGAAAGACTGAATCAAATGTTCATGATTCAATTGTGTGTTGTTGTTTTTTTAACTGAAAGCTCAAGTCATTTGATAATGTATTTTAACACACGTGCCTTTTCTTTTAATACTCTAACAATATGTGAGGTATCCCTTAGGGATCCAGCAGATGGCAAAAGCCATTACTACCTATTGATACTGACCACAGCCACAGACATTAACGTGTTCTTCTCTTCTTCTAAGCAGTTTGTTATTCTAAAAATTCCAGGTGCCCATTTATTATGTGAAACAATTACCCTTGAATTTAGTAGGAAAAAACTTAGACATGTGGCTGTATTGTAAACCCAAAGCTTCTTTCAAAGGAAACATGCATACATAGAAGAATAGTGTATTTTAAATTATAGATGTGAAAGTAAAATAGTTAAAGTTTCTTTTTTGTTTGGTTAAAAGTCTTGGGTTTTTTATTTGTAATAATTTTTTGTAAATTATTAAAAGAAAAGGTTATGTGCTTCCAGGGAATTACTTTAAAATGATACTTTAAATCAGACCTTGATAAAAAAACAAAAGGTAATTTTAAACCTGTTTTTCTTTTTGGATCAAAAAGTCTGCTTTAAGAAGATTTAGTTTGCTAAATCAGTCAGTTAAAAACACATTAAAAGGATACACTATCAGTATCCAACTTTGTAAGTGTCCCTACCCACATCATTTGAAAAGTTAACAGTTGCTATTTAATTAGCAGATTTCAAATATTAATAGAGCAATAGAATTAGTTATATGCCTTTAAGTTTTACAGAATCAAATATCACAAAATAAAATTCCACTTAAAACTCAAAACTTCCAAAGTTTAAACACAAAATAACATTTACTTTAGAACTGAAGTTTTTTTGTTGTAAAATTCTACAAGGTGAGAAACATGAACTCTATTTTTCTAGTAATTTAAGACTTGTAAATCTTGCCTTAGCATTAATTTGTGTGGAGTACCAAAAACCAACCATTAAAACAAAATATTGAAAAAACAAAAAACAACAAAATCTTGCCCTAGCTGGTGTTTCTCTGTGGTTAGAGCTTTGGCCTAGGCATGGAAGGGTCAAGGATTTGATTACAGGCTCTTGTCAGGGTATGTGCCTGAGGCAACCAGTTGATGTGAGGCTCTCACATCTGTTTTCTCTCCCTCTCTCTCTCTCTTTGTGTCTCCCCCCTTCCTCTATCCCTTCCACTCTCTCTAAAAAAACAATGGGAAAAAATATCCTTGGGTGAGGATTAACAATAATTACAACAAAAAATTCTTAATGGGAATGTTTACAGTTTAAATTGATGAAAAGAGGGATAGCTATATCTATTTTGGGACAACTTGAAATAAGCTAATTTGATTACTATATTCAAGTATCGTCTTTATAAGTACCGCACGCTAACCGATTGTGCCACTGGAGCTCCAAGTATCGTCTTTAAATGTGAATAATTTTTCAAAATAGTTAAAGATGTGCTAATTTGGATAAAATGCTTTAACACTACCATTTTATTATATTGATAACTGAGCCCCAAAATTCACTTTTAATAAAGAATTCTATCAAGGAAATAATCATGAACATACTAAAAATTGCCACCCCAAAAAGTCTAAGAAATCTTTAGTTCTTAATAAGAGACCAGTTACCTTTTTAAAACTGAGATTATCTGATATTCCAATAGTCTAGTTCTTTGGTGTGCTGCTTCTAGTTATTTTAAAACTCAAGAATTCTGATTACTGCTAAGGAATAAAAATTCGTTATATTATTGCTATATTATTGAGCAGTGTTTGTTTTTATAATCATAATAATAGGCTATCAAGAGTCATTTTTCAACAGGGGGTAGGGGAGGCTGGGAGGTCAATGGGGAAAAAAAGGATATATATGTACTACTATGTGTAATACTTTAAACAATAAAAAAAAGTTATTTTTCAAACCAAAGAATTTATATTTTTCATAGTCAAAATATACTAATATTTATTAACTAGAGGCCTGATGAATGAAGATTCATGCAAGAATGGGCCTTCCTTCCCCTGGCTACCGGCACTGCCTTTGCTCTGGCCGGAGCCACCTTTCCACCTTCCCATATTGCCCAGAAGCCTGGAGTGGCTGGGGCAGTGCGGAACATCTACGTCCCATCCTGCCTCAGACCGCTCGACACCTGCGTATGCAAATTAACTCACCAGCTTTGCTGAGTTAATTTTCATACTCACTCCTGATTGGCTGGTGGGTGTCGCAAGGATATGGTCAATTTGCATCTTTCTCTTTTATTAGTGTAGATCATCCTAGATATTTCTTATACTTAGTCCTTATTTGCCTACTATAGGAAAACAGTCTATTTTGCTAAGTATCTTTTAAAAATCTAGAATGGCTTTTGCTTTTGAAAAAAATATTTAATTCTTTTGTCTAGCACTGCATATTTCAGTGATTAAAATTAAACTAAACCATACTACCTACCCAAAACTGTATTTAGGAGAACATTCTCTTGTACAAGAACTACATTACATTCTAATGTAGTCAATAAATAACTACATAATAAGGTTAAAGAGTGTTTGAAAATATAAATTAAGTTGATTAAATAGGTAAAAAGCATACTTACTATCTTTGGATGTATTTAACTTATTGTTATATAACTCCAACAATTGGAATGTTATATATTGGACCAAAACACAGAACTACATAAACTGATTTAAGGAATGAAAAATGTCAGGACATACTAGACAATTAAGATGAAGAAAGGGTTGTTCCCACATTTATTCCTAAGAGGTTTCTGAGGAATAGCTCCTAAAATAGTGATAGTGGTGGTCTTGCTAACTCAAGAAAAAGCTATAAACTCCTTACTTGTACTGTTATGAATTCCCTTTAATAATTTTGTTCTTCCCCAAATGAACATATACATTCAACATATAAATGAAAAGTAACTGATAAATGCTTTTCATAATAAGGTACTTTATCACTTATTACTAATGGATATAATTACTTCATTTTAAATGTATTATAACAAGGACAGTTTAAAGACTAGAAAACATTAAAATATATTGAGGATATATGATTTTTAAAAATGCAAACAAGGGATATCTTCCTCAAAAAGGATAAATAAACATCCCTGGAAAGTGCACTCCCTCCCACTCTCCTTTCAGTGCAGACTACATTGTAGAAACAAAATCTCTCTTAGAGAACTAGTTGTGAGAAATAATGACCATCCCTAAAGATATTAAACTCTCAATCTGTACTACTTAAGTGAATATTAATTATTCTTAATGTAAAGGTTTAGCTTTGGGAAAAAGTGAGCCTTTGAAAATTTCAGTATTAGGTCAATCTAGTTGATTGGCATTAAATACAAGAACCCTGGCATTGTCTATGTTTCTTTTTCTTATAGGTTTAAAAATCATTTCAGTCTACTCCCAGTTAATTTCAAGCCTGTGGACAGAAATGAACAATGTGAACAAGTCTGGTGATGAAACACAGATTAAGTCCTTAAAATATCTTAATTTCACAGTCCCTTGTCCCACATAATTTATATAAGAAGCACCAAAACTGGAGCCAAGGTCTGAACAGGTAATATATAGTAGGAATTAAAATTTAATCACATCATATTAAACTCTGTAACATTCTCTATTTTGCCTGTTGATATGTAACATAGTTAAGTTCATTACAAGCATTATTTCCTAAGACTTAGGGTATAAATGATTCTTTTTAAGTATTACCACTTATTTAATAGTGTTTTTCTATATCTTAACATTAAGTACTTCAGTGATAAGTGTACATAATGCAATACATTGTGCCATTTCCCCCTTCCCTGTGTTAAGATATTAACAGAATCAATTCATAAAACTAAAACAACTATCAAAACTGAAACAGGCTATCAGTATCACAGATGCATGTCTGAGTAGGTCAATAGCATTTCCCACTTCACATCTACTTATTTTCATAAAAAAGCTTTCCTTAGGCTAGTACAGCAGCAGCTCTTCAGGACAAGTAGATCAGAAGTTTCAAGTGAAAATGATACTGAATTAGTCTAAGAAAATATCAATCCACATTTCTAATAAAGGAAGAAAACTGCTGGTGTCACCTTAACATAAAATTATGCGTTTTCCCTTTCAACATGTGATTTGGTTCATTTACGTGATGAAAGCAAAGCTTTTGGAGTTCTCATGACACACCAATGAGATGGACTAATTTGTCAAGGAACCTCTTATTTGTTTTAATATTTAAGTTAGAACAATACAATAACTAGAAAAAAGTCAGTGCCCCAGTGACTTTAAACCACATCAGTTTCAATATTTGTTTTTCAAAATAATGATCAGTTATACCTATGCTTCTGCGACAATAGTGCAATACAGTATACTTTCCTGAATAAGAAGCTGAAGTTTATCCAAGTAGAAGCTTTAAATAAGGTAGACTGTGGCCAACTACATATCAATCTTGCATGTGATATAAAATATATTAGGAAAGCTTAAACTGACTTGTAAATCTATATTCAGCTAAAGCTTCACATAAGCAGCAATGGAAATTAATAGATGTGTACTCAATATAAAACACTTTTCAAAACTACTCCAAATAACAAATGACAAAAAGTGGTCAAGAACAACTGAACATCTGTTGTGTGTATCAGATGTAAAAGAAGAATGGATCCCATGGTTACTTGCACTGTTTGAATTATGTGAAGGTAAATTTAAGACTTAGTCCACTTCCATCTCTCCAGAAGATTTAGTATGCTGTGAGCTGTCTTTTGTTGTATCTGGTTTAGTTTCAGTCCCACTCTGTCCATCCATCTGTCCGTTGTGTTCGCTATTAGCTTTTGCATTGTCTTCTGCAACCTCTACTTTTGGTTTGGGTTTGTAAATGATGGGGTTACAGAAATTATCCAGTTCCTAAAGACATGAAGAATATTGATTACATTAAAAATTCCACTGTTAAATTCCACATTAACTTTCTAAATTTCCATATAATTCCACATTCCTGAATTTATGTTAGCTCAGTTACATAATCAACTGAGTTTCTTCAAATACCTCAATGAGAGATTTTACCTTCTGGGCTAGTGCATGTCAGTGGAACTATTTAATCTTTAACAGTGGTTTTTATATAGAATCTTCCTAAAAATTGGTTCCTCATAATTTAAAATATAGTTTACTTCATCAGGAGTCATTATTTATTTTTAAACATTAAAATTTTTTTATTATAGTTGACATACAATATGATGTCACTTTCAGATATACAACATACTGATTCAACATTTATATACCTTATGATATGATCACCACAATAAGTCTATTAACTGTCACTATACAAAATTATGGTATCATTGACTATTTTCTTTATGCTTTACAGTTTATCTCCATAATTTCTTTATTTTATAACTGTAAGTTTGTACCTCTTATCCTCCCCTCCCTCTTCAACTGCTATACCTATCCCTCGTCCCCTTCCTCTCTGGCAACCATCACTTTTTTTCTCTGTATCATGAAGTCTGTTTCTATTTTGTCTTGATTTTTAGATTGTACACATAAACTAAAATCATATGCTATTTTTCTTTCTCTACTGGACTTATTTCACTTAGCATAATACCTTCTAGGTCCATTCATGTTGTGGCAAGTGGCAATTTTTCATTCTTTTTTTATGGCTGAGTAATATTCCATCTTCCTTATCCATTCACCTATCAACAGACACCTAATTTGCTTCTTTATCTTAGCTACTATAAAAATGCTGCAATTAACATAGGGATGCATAATTCTTTTTGAATTACTATTGCAAATAACTTTTAATTAATTTCATTAAAATATGCCTACTACTCTGTTATGAGAATTATGTCAGCACCTATTTCATTAATTGATATTTCTCAACATTTACATGAAAACATACACACTAACTTTACTTTTTTAAAACAACTGAGTAGCCTATTATGTTGAGAGAATAAACCATGAAAGTAAATGCAATTTAATAATTTAGAAGAAATACAATGTATTTCTAAATTGTTGCTTGCTTGCTTTATTCATTCATTCATTCATTCATTTATTTATTTATTTCTATATACATATACAAAAAAGACCATTAAAATATTTTCAAGACCAGTGTCACAGAGATTGAGATAGGGATGGAAAGATAGGCAATAACATCCTGGGGGAATGTTTTAATGGCAAACTGCTTTCATCATACTTAGCACTTCATTTGATGAGGAATAAATTATTATAGCTTCTTTGCAAAACTTTCTCAAAAGGAAAATACGTTTAGTGCTCTATTTGATTAAAATAATACCTGTTTCTGTTAAAAAACATCCGATACCTAAATACATACTAGGTGAAAAAAATCACCTGAAATTCCATATCCTACAGACACTAACATTTTGGGTGATGATCCTTCTAAATGAATGTCCAGGCACACACATATATACAAATATATCCATCTATTAACACATTAATTTATACAGTGAGATAACTTTATATTCTGTAATCTTCATTTTTCACTCAATATGTTGCACACATCTTTATATATAAATAGATGTATCTCTATACTTAAAATATTTAATAACTACAGTGTGTTATACGGATGTATCAATTTATTCATTGACTTGCTTACTGATAGGTATTTTAGGTGTTTCCAATTTTTTACTATTATAAACAAAGGTATTTAATCTGCATATACCTGTGCAATAATCAATTTAGGATGAATTCCTAGAAATGTGATTTCCGGGTTAAAGTGCCTAGTCACTTTAAATTTGTATGCATATTGTGATACAATATCCCAGAAAAGTTGAAACAAATTTAACCAAGTTATGCGGGGAAAGCATTCATCTTCATACCCTTGACAATTATGGCAAGATTATAAATGTAAACACACAACTTCAGATGGGTGAAAAGAGAGATTTGTATTTTTTAGATTAGTGATAAGGATGAACAATACTTTCTATATTTTCCATATTTTTATTGAACATGTATTTCTTTTGTCAACTGCTTATCCAATGTCTTTATTCATATTCCTATGTTGATGCTGATCTTTATTGAAAAGTTTGTGCCCTATTTTTATGTTTTCTATGATCAACTGAAATTTTCAGTAGTAATGTTTTCAGAATGGAAACTTTATCCTAGAAATAAGATTTTACCATAGGACGTAACACATTTTGAATTATGCAAAGACTTGAACATACTGCCAAGTTTACAATGGAGACTTACAGGTCTTACCCAATCCAGAAAAGTCTAACATATTTGACAGTCAAAAGTTAGCAAAGTGCTTTATTTCATTCTGCATTACACTTAAAAAAAATTTTTTTTTAAAAAAAGGCCTTGTGTGACTAATGAAATCAAGGGACAGAGATGACCCACCTAGAATTTTTTCAAAATAAAAAATTATGACTTCCACTAAAAATTTTTAGTGCTTGAACCCCTTAAAAAGAGAATTCTGTAGTTTCTTACCTTTGACTTTGCAACTATTTCTGAAACTTTCACCACAGGATCTTGAGTGAGACTTAGTTTATTCTGTGCATTCATCTTACTGTTCAGCCAACTCATGGCTTCATTGATATATTTTTCAACTTTTTCCATTTCTAAGAAGCTGAAATTCAAACCCCTGTCTCCAAAACCATGTTTCATCCTATTCAAAAAACTTTACTTAATGGAACATTTTTCAGTAAATAAATTTTATTAATAAAATTTATTGAATATATACCTTGCACATACCTATGTGAAGAAGCCACATACATGTTACATAGAACTGAAGAGACTGGGGCAAAATAAAAATCAGTATGGGTTCTTGAAAGGCTTTCTGAAGGATTCAGGCTTAGAAAAAAAAATGACTAGTGGTGAATATTCAAGGAAAGGTACCTAGCCAAAAAAGAAGCTGCATGGAATTGAATTTGTTAGGAAAGAGGAATCAGGGAAGCAGGCATATGGAAAACTAAACAGAAATTTCTGAATATACAAGAAAACACTATAGAAAGTTGTTGATAAGGGGAATTGCATAATGCTGCTGAAAAAGAGAATTGCAGCACTAGCTGGTTTGGCTCCGTGGACAGAGGGTCGGCCTGCAGACTGAAGGGTCCCAGTTTCGATTCCAGTCAAGGGCACATGCCTGGGTTGCAGGCTTGATCCCCAGTAGATGGTGTGCAGGTGGCAGCTAATCAATGATTTTCTCTCATCATTGATGTTTCTATCTCCCTCTCTCATCCTCTCCAAAAACAATAAAAATATATTTTTAAAAAAGAGAGAACTGCAGCTGCCATACCTACAGGACACGATAACAAACCATGGTTTAAATTGTTAGCCACAGAACCAGAAAAAAATGGGCAATGCAACATATGAAAAGAGGATCTCCTGATGAATTGGAGATTGGACATGGAGATAAAGGAAACGAGAATGAAAAAACACTCCAAAGCCAAAGAACAGAGAGGATGGTGATGCTTCATCAGATACTCGATCCATCTTTCTATTTGTATGATTACAAATTATGCACCCATCATCTCTCAGTTTCTGTGCTTCCCCCCTCTCCTCCCCTACTCCATTTTTCTGAATTCCTTCCAACTTATGGATTATTGCTTAAGTTCTTCCCCATTGGCAGGGACATTCACAATCTTTACCTGGAGTTGTCTTCAGGGTCGCTTGGATTGCAATATTATTTTATAAATTTCACAAATCTTTTTCTGTAATAATTAACCTCTTTCTACATTGTATAGTGAAAAACACCATAGTTAAGAGTTTGTATGTTAACTTGGTACTGCTTAGGTGCTTTGTTTTTAAGTATGGTTTTTATTGATTTTTGTTTCCTTTTTAGAGAGAGAGGAAGGGAGAGGGAGACAGAGAGTGAGAGACAGAAACATCGATGAGAGAGAAACATCAACTTGATTAGCTGCCTCTTGCACGCCCCCAGACCAGGAATTGAACCAGCAACCTCTTGTGCATGGGTCGATACTCAACCACTAAACCACACTGGCTGGGTGATGCTTAGGTTTTAATCCTGACCCTCACTATTTACGACCTTGACAAGTTGCTTAAGCACTGCATTTTTCTTATATATCCTTGTGAGAATGAAGTAAGATAATCCATATAAAATTGCTTCAAATTCACTAAGTGTTTGATCAACGTAAGCTATTATTGATACTCTTCTTGAATCTTTCAGGTTCTAGCTAGCCTCTCCTGCCCAGCCAGCATGGCTCAGTGGTTGAGCATCAACCTATAAACCAGGAGCTCATGGTTCGATTCCTAGTCAGGGCACATGCCCAGGTTGCGGGCTCGATCCCCAGTGTGGAGCTGCGTGCAGGAGGCAGCCAATCAATGATTCTCTCTCATCACTGATGTTTTTTTTCTCTCTCTCTCTCTCTCCCTCCCCACTCCCACTCTGAAAAGCAATGGAATAAATATCCTCAAGTGAGGATTAACAAAACAAACAAACTCTCCCCTCCGGCTCCTCCCCCTCCTCCTCCTCCTCCTCCTCTCTGAAGTCAATAAAAATGTATTTGTTAAATTCAATGTAATGGAATTTAACAAATACATTGATAAAAATTGGGAAAATTATGTATTCCCTTGCTACCAAAATGAATATTTAATTTTTTTTAATCTTCACCTGAGGATATGTTATCTTCTTTGGTTATAGAGAGAGAGGACAGGAGAGGGAGGGAGAGAGAATATTGATGTGAGAAACATCGATTGACTGCCTCCTGTATGCACCTTGACAGGAGATTAAACCCTTAACCTGGATATGTGCCCTGACTGGGAATCGAACCCAACTCTTCAGTGCATGGGACAACACTCTAAACACTGAGCGACAATGGCTGGGTGAATACTTATTTAAAGCAGGAGTCAGCAAACTTATCCTACAGACCAAATACAGTCTGCCACCTGTTTTTAAATAAAGTTACTTTGGAATGCAGCCAGGCCCATTAATGTACATGTCATATATGGTTGCTTTTGCACTACAATGAAGAGTTGAATGGCTGTATAGAGCTAAAGCCTGAAAAGCCTAAAATATTTGTTCATTTAAAGAAAAGTTAGCCCAGCTCGCATGGCTCCATGGTTGAGCATCAACCTATGAACCAGGAGGCCATGGTTTGATTCCAGGTCAGGGCACATGCACTGGT